CTATGTTTTAATATTTTTTATTATCCATTTAGATGAATTTTTAGATAACTAAGTCAAAGGTTGTATTAGTTTTTTTGTTGCTTCCTGAGAGTTTGGGAACAGTTTAATTGCATTTCTTTTAATTTAAATGAGGAAAATTGACTCAGCTATAAACAAATCAGGATCCCAAAAAAGGGTCACGGTTTTGGATTAAATTTGTAAGCCCGGGTTCCACTATATACATGGTACCTCGGGATACGAATTTAATTTGTTCCCAGAACGCGTTCGAGTCCCGATCTGTTAAAGTACCGAAGAATTTGTCCAATATGGAATTATGTAAATTACATTAATCTGTTTTAGCCCCCAAAAAAATGCATTTAAAAAACACTTAAAAAAACACTTACATAATTGTTAAATTCATGCCCGGGGTCCACTGTTATTTTTTTTAAAAAGTCGGCTGTTTTTATACACCTCTCCTCATTAACATGGATTCCTTTCCAAATTCCAGGAAAACAAATTTCGTCGAAAAATGGGAAATAAAAATGGAAGTGGTTTATGTCACCTTCTTTATATTGCTTTAAAGTCAACCCTTGGCCCCTTTTTAAACAGGGACAAATAAGCAAAAAAGGGAAGGGGGTTAGAGATGTTCGGTCCGTTGGGAATTGACAAAAATACACTAAAAAGGGGGACAGGAGGCATAAAGGAGGAAAGGGTGGAGGAATGTATTTATGTAGTATGTAGTGAGAAAAAAGGTATAAAATGGAGAAAAACCCCCCCCCCCCCCCCCCCCCCCCCCCCCCCCCCCAAAAAAAAATAAAAAAAAAAACCCCCCCACCCCCCCCCCCCCAAAAAAAAAAAATGGTAAAAAGTGGGAAAAAAGAAGACGGCCAGTCAAATAAAAAGGAAGGGGAGCATGCAAGAGAACTAGAAACCCACAAGGAGAAGCAAGCGCACCGAGGTGGGAAAGGGGAAGGGGTAAAATAAAAAAAAAGGAAAAGAAACACGAGACAGGAGAGAGAAAGACAACCCAGAGGAAAAGGAGAGGGGGAAAGGGAAAAGAGGAAAAAAAAAAAAAGAAGAAGAAAAAAAAAATGAGGATTCGGGTTTAAAGTCAGGGGTTCTGAAGTTTGGAGCATTTTACAATGTAGTGGGAGGGGAAAGGGTTTACAGAACGAAGCCGGGGCAAAGGTTCATACAAGGAAATTTGTGTATAAGGAGGATTCAACTAAAGGGGCGACTGTTCGAGTTGGAAGTGGAAGACAGTTTTGGCAGAAGACCATCAAAGGTGGCTAGCTCTGAGTGACAGAAAAGAGCAATTGTTAGTGTCGGCAAGCCTAACACTATTTTTGTGCTCCCTAATCTGCAGAAAGAGATCGACCATTTTTCTCCAAATTTTGAAAGGACAGGAGGAGCAAGAAATAGAGTAGCCCCCAGGAACTCGTGAGGGGGGGAGGTATGAACAGTTTAGTGGAAGAGGTTAGTCTGGCGGAAGGTAAGCTTATTTTAAAGGGGACGAGAAAATTTGTGAGATTAGAAAGACCGAAATGTAGGGAAAGGCAGGGGATAGAAGATTCCCATGAGTAGAGATTTTGGGAGAGAAAAAATTGGTTTTTAGCACGTGAGGGGGGCAGAGTCTATGAAAGGGGAAAGGGGTGCCAAGACGGGAACAAATTTATAAAGAGGGGAAAATTTTCTGCGGGAAGGAACTGAGGATCACAGATGCGGAGGGCACGGAGAAAGAGGGAATAAAAAACATTTTTCTTGACGGGGAAGCATGTAGGAAAAGTAGTGAATGTACATGCCACTGTGCATATTTTTAGGTAAACGGAAAGGAAAAAAAACCTGTATCTGAGGGGTGGACAGGGACATCAAGGAAAGAAGAAAGGGAATTAGATTCCCATTCAGTTTTAAACTTAAGGAAGGGGCAAATTGTTAAGGCTTCAAAAAAAGGTGGAAGAGACTGGAGTCATGGGGCCACAGAGCAAAGATGTCATCCCATAGGGAGCCAGGTAAGGTTGCACATCGAGGGTAAAAAGAAGAACAGTCTCGAAGTTTTCCCATTAAAGATTAGCAAGGACAGGAGAGAGGGGAAAGGCCATAGCGCACCAAAGGGTTTTGGGGAAAATTTTTCCCCTTGGGGAAGGGAAAAGGGAGTTAGAGTCCACACAGGGGCGGATCGATAAAGAAAGACTCAGTGGGGATAGGGGAAGAAGAAACCCTTCATGGGCTTCTCTCTAAGGAATCAAAGGGCATCTCAAGAGGGACATTGGGGAAGGGGACCCAAAGTCAAGATAAGCATCTAACATTTGGAGAGAGCGAACCCGTTCAATGAAAGTCTTGAGATGACGGAGGGGGCAGGAGAAAAAGACCAAAAAGGGAGGGAGGGTTTTGGCCAGCCAAAAACAAAGAATAAGAGACGAACCTCTAGAGGATATGATAGGGCGAAGAGGAATTCAGGGTTTTTGAG